GACATGACCAACATAACAGAGTTTTTGCTCATGGGATTCCCTGACGACCAGGTGCTACAGAGAACGTACACCACACTCTTCTTCCTGATTTATCTGGCGGCACTAGTAGGAAACCTCCTCATTATCACACTCACCACTATTGACCTGCATCTCCAACTCCCCTTGTACTTCTTCCTGAAGAATTTGTCCTTGATCGACATCTGCTATATCTCTGTCACCGTCCCTAAATCCCTCGTGAACTCTCTGACAAACAGCCATTCCATCTCTTTCTTTGGATGCGCCTTGCAGGTTTTCTTTGTTATTTTTTGGGGGGGTACAGAGTACGCCCTCCTTCTAGTGATGTCCTATGACCGCTATGCTGCCATCTGCCATCCTCTGCACTATGAGGCCATTGTAAATAGAGGTTCCTGTGTGCGGATGGTAAGTGCATCGTGGTTCAGTGGGTGTGTCTACGGATCCATTCATGTGGCAGGTACATTCTCTGTCCGTTTCTGTGGGCCCAACATCGTGCGTCAGTTCTTCTGTGATGTTCCGTCACTGCTCACACTTGCTTGTTCCAGACAGCAAGTTCTAGAATATGCATTTATCATTGCTAGTTGTTGTTTTGCTTTCACATGTTTTACTTTAATGGTTGTGTCTTACGTTCATATTTTTACTACTGTCCTAAGAATTCCATCTGCAAAGGGCAGAGTGAAAACTTTCTCAACTTGCATGCCTCATCTCACTGTGGTGACACTGTTCCTTTTTTCTGGAATTATTACGTATTTAGCTAAAAATTTTAAATCTTCTTCTTCACTGAAAGTGTTGATATCTGTGCTTTACACTGTATTACCACCCACTTTGAATCCTCTCATCTATAGTCTGAGAAACCAGGACATACAGGTGGCCTTGAGGAAGGTGGTAACTGGAAGAATGTCAAGAATATTTTTTTATTCAAAAACATGAATATTTTTGTTTTTGTTTTTGTTTTTAAGCTATAGAGTCAATTTCAAAGACCAGTCTAACATGGGCTTGGACTTCTAAGGTTTGAGGGTTTTTGTCTTTTGCCCTTGTAGGGATAAAAGTTTGGTCCATTACTTTCCTCATTGTTTTTTTTTTTTTTTTTTCCTTTTTGTCTTTTTTTACTGACCGGTAATGGGATCACAACC